GTTGGGTTTGAGGACAATTGGGGGGAGGGGGGTACCAGAGGATCGTTTAATGCTCCTGTAAGAAACGGGAACTCACCTCTGCACTTTCCACCAACTTCTCGAGACGTTAGATTATGGTATACTTCGGTTCACTCTCTCTCTCTCTTTCTTTCTCTCTCTTATCCTTCACCCTCCTTCATGGTGGCGGAAAAAGTTCTTCCTTGACTCGCATAACGTAGGTGTGCGCTGTGTTCTTCCTACCTGTGTTTCTTTCACGTTAGAGCCCTTCTGGCTAAACTTCTGGTCCATTAATTTACATTAGGACATTTTTCAAGAGCCCCGACGCTCGTGTACCTTGAAATTGGCGAAGTCTTCTTTTTCACAGCGCCCCCTATCCGGGGAAAGAGCCCTCGAGTTCTTCGTGTTTTCGTTGTCGACGTTACGCTTGAATTCTTTACCATTAAACGATGTGGCAGAGAGGACAGGCCATGTGTCGGATAATTTTATTAGCCTTTATATCTCGCTCTTTTATTGTTTAGAAGCGTCAATGGAAGATAGTAAACCGTGTTACTCACACCATCGCCACTTTCTCACGTTGGTGTTTTTAGTGGACGATGACAGGTTCTCTCGCGAATTAGCGGACGAAACTGTATTTATAATTCACCTACCCTCGTTACTGAAATGTTCCAGGTAACAAGTTTTATAGGATGAAAATACGCGTGGAAGGGGTAAAGTGCTTTCATAAAATGTACACGTGGCTATTAATCATCGGAATGATTGTTTCACTCCATCGGGATTCGTTAAATTATGCAGCTCCCCGAAGAAGGGTCGCGACAATAATTTCTGTCCTTTTAATTGTTTATTAGTGTGCAATTTTTTCTTCCTTTTTTACCAATTTTCGGTGTAATTTTAATATTTTTATGCTTTGGTTGATCAATAAATTATTTAATAGTTTTATCTGCGATTTGCTTCAGGATTGGGTAAAATAAAATTTTGATACTTTAGCTCATCTTTTAATAATTTAATACTTTAATTTTCAAATTGGGGCAAGTTTGGGTTAAATTTTTAAATTTTTATATTTTACCTCATTTAATAATTTGATATTTTAATTTTCAATTTGCGCCAAGATTGGGTTTTATAGTTTTTAGCTCATCATTTAATAATTTAATACTTTAATTTTCAAATTGGGTCAAATTTGGATAAAATTAAAAAATTTTATATTTTACCTCATCATTTGATAATTTAATACTTTAATTTTCAATTTGCACCAGGATCGGGATAATTTTTAAAAATTTTAGCTCGTCATTTAATATATTAATTCTTTAATTTTTAAATTGGGTCAATTTTGGGTAAAATTAAAAAATTTTTATATTTTAGCTCATTTAATAATTCAATAATTCAATTTTAATTTAACTCAATCCTGATACAAATTGAAAATTTAAAAATTATTGAATTATTGAATTATTAAATCAGCTAAAATACCCAAATTTTTTAATTTTACTCAAAATATATTTCGATATATTTGATATATTATTTTTGGGATTCCTTTATTTTTTATTTTTGTTTATTATTTGAATTCCTTATGAAGATATTAGCATTTCTTAATGGCTTTTCATAAAGGTATTTATTATAGGAATAATATCTGTGTAATTATCTTGGAAATAAGGTAATAGATAAAATTTACTAATCAAATAATTCTAATGCACGGTTGAAATGGATTAATGCTCGATGTAAGTAATTACTTTATATCCCAGGTATTTCTCACCTATCGGAACAAACTGATCATACTTTGATTAGCAATAAACTTAATTATCGATTAAATATACATTATTATTATTGCGGCTTCCCATTGCTTAATTCAAAACAAACTAAACACAATTATTCCATTAATATTAATAATTATATCAAATGAAAATATTCTGTTTCCGTAATTGAGTCGCAATGCGAGTATCTCTCGTGAAATTAAGTTAATTATATACATATATACGTTGTTATTTATATGAAAGGAAATAAATCGGCATAAGATTATCCCATGAAATATGTTGTAGAAATTTTTATTTTCACTTTCTACGGATTAATGCTGTATAAATACTGATTCTTAATTTACGTAAAATTTTCATTAAATGCCTATAATGCACGTGCACATATCGCATAAGCAGTATTAATACCAGGTTAATATAATTAAGTAAATAACAATATTAGCGTAATAGTGTTTAAGGATAATAATAAAAATACAGATTAAAACTGTTAATTGATTTAATGAAATTCGTGATATCGGTATATTATAATAAATTAAAAATCGCCTTATTTAAATATTTAATTCGACCAGTGCAACGTATGTGGGTAAACGGCAGTAACAGGTTGAAATTAAAATGATTAACACAATTTAAATTAAGATTATTTTTTGAAGTGCCAATCGAGATTAATATAAGTATTGACACGTAACACGAAATTATATTCACTGATTTGATGAAAGTCATGTAACTGCGTAATCGAGGTTGATGCTGGCATTAACAATTGAAATATTCTACTCGTATTCGTATTAATTTTCTGTATTTATCGTGATCAGTTAAATACATATTTTTGTTATTCCAGTTGTTGATGCAATTCCCTCGAAATTCGGAGCTTCAACGATTATTGTTGAATTTGGCTTAATAAATTTGAAATGGAGGTACTAATTATAACGAAACTTACAAATATTATTTTTGTCACGGATTTTTCTTTTTAATTTGAAATCAAGTTACTGATTAACATAACTTTTATTGATATACTTATTTTAGAAAAGTAATGTAATGGAGGTATTAATTATAACGAAATTTACAAATATTATTTTTGTCACGAATTTTTCTTTTTAATTTGAAATCAAGTTACTGATTAACATAACTTTGATCGATATACTTATTTTAGAAAAGTAATGTAATGGAGGTATTAATTATAACGAAATTTACAAATATTATTTTTGTCACGGATTTTTCTTTTTACTTTGAAATCAAGTTACTGATTAACATAACTTTGATTGATATACTTATTTTAGTAAAGTAATTTAATTTAATAATTTCTTCCTTATTTTCGTAATTAAAAAAGAAAATTCAGGAAATATATCAAAGTCCTATAACGAATTTTATACCGATTAATAAAAAGATGCTGAATAGAAAATTAATTTTTCAAATTCTTTTAAACATCGTAAAATTCATAATTATTTAGTTAGATACGATTAATTTTAATTTTTGTTTTCATTAAATTATTTTTCTTTTACTATTCCAATATTTATAAATGCAGTAAATAAAACAACTATATAATACTTCGTTTAATCTGTATTATTTTCTAAGGTAGCACACGTTGCATTATGTTTTTGATGAATATTTTAATGTATTCTCGATATTTATTGTACCAGAAATTATTCGCTTTTTCAAGAAAATTTCTCTGTTAATACACATATTTCGGAGAATATTATATTGAAGCCCAATAGCAGCATACACGTGGAGTCGCTGAGGTGTCTTTGTTGACTCTGCACATACTCAGAGGATTTTCAAACTCAATTTTCATGAAAAAGAAATCCGGTATGAACTCTCGAAGAGAGCTAAGCCTCTGCGGTTGTAACACAAATTACGTTGCGTCTTGCATAGAATGACGACGTAACTGTTTTACCTTGCAATTTCAATTCCACGTATTCCTCACTAAAAATTTCAGTGGATTTCACGTCGTATTTTACTTTACTATAAACGAAATATTTACAATAACGAAGTTAAGTTTAAATATTTAAGTTCAGATATTTAATGTACATTTTTTATTGTTGCAGTAAAATTTTATGGATTTTTCTGAATTTCTTTGTCGTAGTAACATTTGATGTACCTTTACAAATTTATTTTCTTTCTCTCTATTTAAAAATGAATTTTCTACCGTAATGCATGAAATTTCTCATATTTCGTTACAGCATTTAATACGTCTAAAGTTGGTTCAGATTTTACAAACTCCTTATTGGATTATTAGATCTGTGGAAAAGTTCTGATACTTTACCTGGGCTGATTCTAGATTTGAGTAATTAACTTAAGAAACGTCACAGTTGGTGGCAGGAGTTTTCTGCATTTATTATACCGTAAAGTTATAAATAATTAATGAATAAAGTGGTAGAACTCTGCCACAACTTTCCATATACAATGACGTTGCTAAAACTACTAACAATTGATGGTTAACTATATTTGTATTACATAATTCGTATGTTCCCGTAATAATTACAGTACACAGTGACTTTCTGTTTTTTGAAACCTTCGTTAGATATTATATCGTGTAATATAACGAATAAAAATTTGAAAAATATACAACCTCCTAATTTTGTAAGAAGAAACTGCCCATTTTAATCTCAAATAGTTCGAATTTTATTTATTCGCAAAAGTAAAGTACAATCGATTATAATTCTATAATATAAATATAAATAATAAGTGATAAATAAATTGTTTAATAAATGTTAAATAATAAGTAATAATAAATAATAGTAATAACAGGATTGAAGCACAGTAAATAATGATAAATAATACAATTTAATAATCGCAGATAATAAAAATATATAATTCAATTTAATAATAATGAATAATAATAACGAATAACTTATAAATAACATAAACACGAAATTATTACAATAAATAAAATAATATAAAATCGATTTCAATAGAATTTAAAAAATACAAACACGTGCATGTCAGTATTTATCATCGACACAATGGTATTTTAATGAGGTAAAATAAAACGATAACAAAGAGCTATAATCCAGTGACGTCCAAATCCTATGACGTTATAGATCATTATAACTACACCGAATTTAATCGAAAATTTTCAATAACTCAGGCCATCGAGCAAAATTTCCGGCATTTCGAAGCCGCGACAGTATGCTCGCCAGTGGATCGAAATCGCGGCAATTGTTACTAACCTTTTTAATACGTCACGTACATTACAAACGACCGTATTATCACGCGGAACGTGTTGGTAAATGTTCCAAAACGGCATTTCCATTTCTGTTTCAGCACACTCTAACGGGCCACTGCGGGAAGGTGATGGCGGCAAAGTTTCTTGGCGAGCCTTCAAAAGTAGTTACCGGCAGTCACGATCGTACCCTAAAAATTTGGGACCTGCGTAGCAAAGCGTGTAAGTAAGCAGTGCCAAACAAATAGGTGACGTTTAGCGTACACAGTCCAACGGCGTACGTTTATCCTTAACCGTAACCGGAACGTTGTTGCGCTATAGACGGAAAATAATGTACGGCATTACCGGTAATCACGCTCCTCATTATTCCCATTAGTCATGAATAATGCTAATACACTTACCGGCGACTCGGGACAATAAAAGGAACGCGTATCTGGTCGCTGCTCTGTGTACGCCGTAGGATCATAAGTTTAAGACCACCCTTAGTTGGATGATAGAAGAATTGGTTTATGGAAGTTTAGCAACTTATAGAGTTCATTACCGATTCTATTATCAATCAATATGTTCAATGTCTGCGTGGATACGTGGACGTGTGCGAGTATTTTTATAAACATCTCCAGTTCTTTATTTTAAATGACCATTTTCACTCATGCTGTCATGGTGATATCTTAGCAACTCAGTGAAATTCTTTTATTGAAAAAATAAATTATTATGTTATTCTATATTTGTTTCTAGGGAAAGTAGGTTTGTTTATATCAATTTTAATATACGTTATTGCAGATCATGAGATTCGGATCATCTTCTATTAGATGATCGAAAAATTGGTTTATGGTAATTTAATATAGGGTTCATTAATGATTCAATTATTAATTATTGTACGACTGTAAACGTGTGCAAGTATTTTTATAAATATCGTGACCTTTATTTTAAGTGACCATTTTCACTCTTTCAGTCATGGTAATATCTTAGTGACTCAGTCAAATTCTTTTATTGGAAAAATAAATTAATTTCTTATTCTAAATTTATTTCTACGTAAATTAAGTTTGTTTATATCAATTTGAATATACGAGATTGCAGATTACAAAATTTGGATCATCTTCAGTTAGATAATCAAAAAAGTGGTTTATGGAAATTTAGTATAGGGTTTATTAAAAATTCTATTATTAATTATTGTAGGATTGTGAACGTATGCAAGTATTTTTATAAATATCGTGACCTTTATTTTAAGTGACCATTTTCACTCTTTCAGTCATGGTAATATCTTAGTGACTCAGTCAAATTCTTTTATTGGAAAAATAAATTAATTTCTTATTCTAAATTTATTTCTACGTAAATTAAGTTTGTTTATATCAATTTGAATATATGAGATTGCAGATCACAAGATTCGGATCATCTTCAGTTAGATGATCGAAAAAGTAATTTATGGAAATTTAGTATAGGGTTCATTAACGATTCTATTATTAATTATTGTAGAACTGTAAATCTGTGTAAGTATTTTTCTAAAGTATTTTTATAAATATCGTGGGTTCTTTATTTGAAGTGACCATTTTCTTTTTTGCAATCATGGTGATAGTGGCTCAGTAAAATTCTTTTATTGGAAAAATAAATTAATATATTATTCCATATTTATAAATAAATAATTTTGTTAATTAATTCTGTTTATATCAATTTGAATATACATGATTGCAGATCTTGGGATTGAGATGATAAAAAAATTACTTTATAAATGTTTAGTATATAGTTCATTAACGATTTTATGATCAGTTATTATACAATAGAACCGTGAATATGTTCAATTATTTTTATAAATTTTTTAGTCATGGAGACCTTGAAGTCGTTATAATATCCTAATGAATGAGACAAATTTTCTTATTCAAGAAATGAATTAATGTTTCATGTCATCTTTGTTTTTATTAGGCTAATTGCTTTAGTTTATGCTAATTTGGATATATGTATTCAAGATTATTTAACAATCTGTCATCTAAAGTGATTTGAACGAGCATTCGTGCATGATTTTCAGGGTCGTGGTTGTATGAGTGAATTGGCCAATCTCTTTTATTTGATGACTAAAATACGATACTAATTTGGTCTAATTAGTTTGACTTGGCTAGACGATTGAATAATTGGTTTATGGAAGTTTAGCAACTTTTATTATAAAATTCATCAGTGGTCAATTTCTTTTATTTGATGGCTAAAATACGATACTAATTTGGACTAATTAATTAAAACTTATTTAGACGATTGAGAAATTGGTTTATGGGAGTTTAGCAATTTATATTATAAAATTCATAAATGTTTCTATTGTGAGTAAATGGATGAACTAATATGAAGATTTATTTAACACAACAACAGCACAAAATAAATTATAACTAAATCTTGTAAAATAAATTCGCTTCTAACTTTCATATAATCTCTCGAGGACTCTCACACACACAACGTCTATTTGTAATGACTGTCATTCACCTACTGATTGTTTTTTCACGACTCTCTGTCATACTCGTCACACACACATTCTTCCACACAAACATTCCTCACACTCATACCACACATTCTACGACAACCACTACCACATCTATTATTATGTATAAATTTTTTTAAACACTATAAGCATGGCATCTAAACAATCTTCATTTCTAGATAGTAGTATCTTAATTAACAAATTAATTATCTTTGTTGATAAAATAAAATACTATGACACTGTTTGGTTATCCCTAGATGAATTATTCTAGCTTAGCCCTAAATTTGCCTCTAATTATCAGAAAATAAAATAGCTCATGTGAATTCAGCACTTTATAAAATTTATCACTCGCTATATTATTAATCAAAATGACAATTCACTTAGAAACGTGAATAAATGAAATCACCTTTAAACGTACTATGATTTATGTATCTCAAATGAACTGCTACATCTTTGAAATTACTATAGTATCCTAGTCAATGATTATAATTATTTTTGTTGAACAAATGAAACGCAGTGCTATTACTCCGCTATCCATTGGCGAATTACTTTAGATTATACCAATTTGAATATACGTATATTGAAAATTACGACTCCCAGACCATCTCTAGTTAGCAGATACAGGTGATCTATGAAAGCTTCGGAACTTACAAGGATCGTTAATGAGTCCATTAATGTATTATCGGCTAACATGTTGAAAGTTTACGTAGAAGCACAAATGTGTATAATTATCTTTGCAGATACCGTGACTGTTGTATCTTGAACGAGCATCTGCATTCTTGAGTCACAGTGCTATCTTGATGAACGATCTCGTTTATTCTTAGACTCGAGATAGTATCTTAATGAACGAGCCAATCCTTTTTGTTCCATAAATGAAATACCGTGTTGTTTCTTCATTGTCCGTAGACGAATTGCATTTAAATATTTCGCAGGTCATAAGTTTGCTGCCACCCCTGGCTAGCAGATCGGCGAATCGATTTACATGAGAGCTTTAACAACCTGCAGAGTTCGTTAATGATAGTATTATCAGTCAACGCGTTGAAAGTTCACGTAGAAATACGAGTGTCTGTAATTAGCTCTTCAAACATTGGTTAACTCTCGCATAAGAACAATTACCTATGATCTTGGGGTCATAATAGTGTCTTAATCGCTCAGCCAATCTTCTCTCCCTCCCTCTTTTCTTTTTAGGGAAGAAAATGATGAGCTATTGTTTCGTTGTCCAGGAATAAATTACTTTAGTTTGCCATAATCTGGCAGTTAATGCGTACCGGTATCAGCCAACTGATCTCATTAAACGTTGCAGAGGTATCTGTACAGTCAACAGACTCACGGGATACTTTGTTTGCAGTGCTAAACCTAGGCTGTAAGCAACCTTGTAGTTATAGTAATATCTTTGTCGATGTATCAATTTTTCTCCCTCTCTTTTTCAGACAAACAAAATACCGCCCAAGAAATAACATTTCATTGTCCATAAGTCAATTAGCTCAGCTTACGATGACCCGAGCATTCGTGTTTTCGTTTAGTGGGTATAATAAACATAGCTCTTAGCTTACAAATGAAATTGGATATTAAATAGAATCGTAGTATAAAAATATAACACGGTTACGAAGTTTATTATTGACATTAAAGTCAATCATAAGTCTGCAGGTTTATGTAAACACCTACGTTCGTGTAATTAGTTTTGTAAATACCGACTCTTGTGCGCTGAACAACCGCGTTCATTCTCGGAATCACGATTAACCTGCTTTAATTTGAAATCTCGAAATTAATAATAGGTACAAGCGAGGGGACAAAATTATAATTATTGTAATTAAGAATTTTCTACTGTAATTTCAAATCTAGGGATCATCGTTATAAGGGGATGAAATTGCAATTGGTTATTAACGAATTTAAAGAATTAAATTAAAATAGAAAATATATATTTAATTAAATTCTATAAGTTATAAATTATAAATAAATTTAATTAAATTCTGATAAATTATAATTTTAGAATTATAGTTTATAATAATTATATTTATTATTATAAATGGATACCTTTTATTTTAATTTAATTCTTTAAATTCTGGAATAACTAATAAATACTGAAATAAGTAATAGTTCAATGCCAAAGCAATGGAGTAATATTTAAAAATAATATAAATAAAGGTAGACGACTTCGAACGCGAGGAAATAATAAATGAATATAAATGAAAGAGGGTCAAAATTTTTATTCCTCGTGCAGGGTTTATTGTTGGTCTCTTTTCTTAGATAAATTGGTTATTATCTTTCTCTTCTTTTTAGACGATTAAAAACCTTGTACTATTTCTTCGTCGTGTAATACGTAGATGATTTCTTTGGTTTGCAGTGAAATAAAAATAGGATATGGAGAGTAGAATGATTGAAGGAATTCAACATCATACGTACGTTCTTCAATCGTTAAAGCGTGAAATTAGTGCGTGCGAATGTATAACTTAGTAAGTCTAGACGTTTCCATTTTAAATTCTTCTACGGTCTAATATTCTAATTATACGCGTTTTAAAGTGTTTCCGAGATAACTATTTTTATTAGTCGCTATAAAATTTCACGTTTACTTTAAAATTTACGATTTTTGGGGTTTCTCTTATTACTTTAGATATCAAGTGGTTCGTAAACTTTAAATAGTAAATTCTCTCGTATGGAAAGGAAATGTTACTGCCAGCGAATTATTTGCTGTTCTTAAGGTAAGGTGGGTATTAAGCAACTTTTATCTAACAGTTTAATAGTATTTGCTGAGAATGAAAACCTT